TGACCCCAGCAAGATAGGAGGTAGAACCTCATACAGGGGTTTGCCCCAGGGAAGTTCTCAAAGTCCGATACTATTTAACTACTACATCAGAGGCATTAGTATTATAAATGAGGCGCGTGAAATAAAAACTGTTGTGTTCGCGGACGATGTGGTTTTGTTGAAGGAGGGGGGTTCCATTGAATTGGCAGTTGAGATCATGAACGATGCATTGAATGCGACAGCGAGTTTTCTCGAGGAACGAAATTTGAGTCTGGCACCTAGTAAGTCGAAGGCAATGTTTTTTAGAAGACCTGAACTCATCCCTCCAATTAGGCTAAGGGGCGAAAATATCGCAACGACGGTGAACACAGTATACTTGGGTGTACATCTGAATGTGAGGCTGTCTTGGAGGGAGCATGTGAACTATATTGTAAATAGCTGCCAGAAGGCACTTAATCTGGTGAGGTCTCTTTCATAAACTAGATGGGGATGTAGTCCGATGGTTTCTGCGTTATTCTATAAGGCACTTATCCAGTCTAGACTGGAGTTTGTTACTTGGTTGATGTTGCCTGTCCCAGTTCTGGTGTTTAAGAAGTTAGCTGGCATTCAGCTCCAGGCAGCGAGGGCTATTACTGGTGCAATTAGATCTACACCAACTAATGCACTATTGGTGGAAGCGAATATTATGCCATTGGATTTAAGGTTGCGCCTGTTAATGGATAAATTTGTTGTGAAAAACCTTATGCGTAGNGTTTCTCTCGCCACCCCAAGCACCCATCTCCAGTATCTAGCTTGCACGTCCTCCAGCATTGCCTGCTCTCTCCATCCCCATACCTCTGCTCCATATATCATCACACTGCTAACCAGGCCTTCAAACATAATCTTCCTCGCTGCCACATTCCTTCCAAAACTCTCTTCCCCCAACCCCATACTTGTCCCATCACCTTATTCGCCTTTTTTGCCATAGGTATCACATGCGACTCCTTCCTGAACACATACCCCAAGTAAGTATACTCCCTAACCTCCTCGATCTCTTTTCCCTTACATCTCCAGTTTTCTGTTCTTTTTCTCCCACCCTTACAAAACTTCATCATCCTTGTCTTCCCCACATTCACTTCCAGCCCATTCCCCCTAAAATATCTTTCCAATGTCTTTATCATATCTTTCATCTCCGCCGCTTCTCTCGCCATGACCACGATGTCATCGGCGTATGCTAACATATGCACCTTTCTACCTCCCACCACCAACCCTCCCATTTGCCCCTTCCCAAATCTATCCTCCAGATCCGCCGTATACAGTGTAAACAGACTTGGGCTCAGCGGACATCCCTGCATCAGTCCCTTCGTCGTCCAGAACACGTCGCTCAGCTTATCTCCCACCTTTATCCTAGCCATAGTCTCCATGTATATTTCCTTCACTCTCGCAATTAGGTGTTCCGTGATCCCCCTCCTCCCCATCTCTCATTTGAGCCGTTTATTTTGAAAGTGGCCCTAGTCCATTTTTATCTTTTTTCAAGTTAACTGTGGTGACATTTATAATTTATATTGAACTGTCAAAAAAAAAATCGACATTGAAATATATTTAATACATTTGAAAATTTTGTAACACGTACATTTTCATAATAATATAAATATTGAAAATCATAATTTTGAAAGTGACCTAAGTCCACTTTTTATTGATAATGTCAAAAAGTGCGGCCCAAAATCTTGAAAGCAGTGATGAAGGTAATTTAAATTATATTACAATATTGAATTAAATTTTAGAGAATAATATTCAATTAAAGAAATTATTAAACCCATGGGAAAAGATAAAATCACAAGAGTACTTGATTCTGAAAGTGAAGAAGAATTAAAATCATACAACAAATATAGAAAAAGAAAGATAATTTTAGAACTTCATTCTTCAACAGAGGAAGAGGAACTAATTGAGAATGAAAATTTACAAAACAACAGCTTCAGAGAAGGATTCAGAGAAAACAGAAGTGATACTTATATTCAGAAACTTCGTAAAATTAAACGAAATTCGGGGATACACAAGCGAGAAATTATACCTGCCAAAGTTTTTCAAAATAAAGATTGCCAATGTCGAATAGACAAAATTGTGGTAATCATGATCGATTCCAGTTAATCAATTTTTTAATTTTTTTTCTTTAAATTTTTACTATTTTTAAACAGCTTACTATCAACTTCATTAAATATATATGCAGCAATGTTAGTAATAGAACAGGAAATTGTGATTCGGATTTTATCAAATTTTGGCCAGGTGTAAAATTAAGTACAAAATTAATTCAATTACCCGCTTTTGTTATGAAATTCCGCCCATTTTACCCGATTATTATCGCTTTTTCAATAAAGTTGTGCAAATTTTAAATTATTCACTGACCATAATTTTACAATGCAGACCTTTTGAGATTATAGCTTACAATAGTATATTATTATATGAGCATATAATGAGGGCTATTATTCACGAAGGTTAAGTTTATGTCACGAGCGTAGCGAGTGGCATAATTAACCTGAGTGAATAATAGCTCATTATATGCGAGTAGAATACTATACTTTGTCCACGACTACCTTATGAATGAGTTTTCTAAAACAAAATGGTAGTCATTTTTCACGGAGTGAATAATAGGATTTTGAATAATAGGCAATTTTTTAGGAGTTTCTAAATGTTTGACATTATAAAAACCTAAACAAATTCCTTTTTTCGTATGATTTAAGAATAAATTAATTAATTTTCCTAAAGAAAACGACGTTTTATAAAACTGACATTTAATTTTGACAAATTGTTGTGAAGTTGGTTACAGTTAGTAACATTGAATTTGTGTTACACTGACGTTTAACCATTATTCAAAAATTTATTTAAAAAATAAATTTATGGAATCAATTTCAATAGTCGTGGACAAATATTATTTTTATGTTATAATCCTGTTGAGCAAATAACAATTTGCATAGATATTTTCTAATAACCCTTGATTTAATTGCTGACCAGGTACTATTGTTGTTTTTATAGCCTACAAGAACATATTATGCTGTCAACTGTTACTGACGGAATATTGAAAAAAACATTTAATTAACACCCATTGTTTAATGTTATTTTTTTTTATATTCTATTTTCTATAACACTAATTAATTCTATCCGCTGTTGGATAATAAAGTTTATTTATGTTACTATGTTTCGCCTTTTATTTTGGATTAATATTGTTTTTTAAACATCGATACAATTAATATACGCATAATATCCGCAAACCACTTACTAAACTACATTTGACTACATTGAAAAAAAATTTAATAATTAGCGACATCTATGATTCGGATGGCAAAGCTTTGTTTTATTGATTTATATAGATTCCTTTACGAATTCCCAATATTTTGATGAAATCGCAGATTTTTCGTTTTACCCAAATTTCGAGATAATAACAATTCAATTTTACGTCTACTTACACGTAACCTCTTCCTACATTCTACTAGTATCCTTGAAGCGTTGGCATCTCAATTTAATGTTTAATTTCTCGTAAAGTAGCTATACATCAAGTGTTATTTATGACAAACTTTAGGATTTTTTTTATGTTACAAATACAGCAATGTTACAACGCGGAACACTTCAATGTGTAGAAAAATGTGTGTACTTCAATTCTGTGTATTCACTTTTCCATAATAATTTGCCATTAAGTTGTATTTTGGGGAAAAATTAATCTCTACCAGCACATACAAAAATGGCCATTTAAACGCCCCCTTAAGGTCACCGTTCAATGGCCATTTTTATATGGGCCCATATAGGCCGATAGAGGTTACTTTCTAACACATTTATNAACGAGTTCATTTTGGAGTATATGCGCCCGACTTGGAGTTGTCCCATTCCGGAAAAATGTCGGATCATGCTAACATATTTGTGGCAGAATTGTTTGCTGTATGGTGGGCGATGGACTATGTAAAGACAAACAGGGTGTCACCAGTGGTGATATTCACGGATTCGTTGAGTGTGATCCGTGCATTGGAGGTGGCCATGGGAGGAAAGACGAAGGTACATTATCTGGTGAACAAAGTTAAAGAACTTAGCTGGCAGTGTACTGTGGAAGAACTGAAGATTGAGTTGGCTTGGATTCCTGGCCATGTGGGAATTGTTGGTAATGAGAGGGCGGATGGTCTGGCGGCGGGTGACACTGGTCCATGGTATCAGATACGCAAGGACGTTGGTGACATTGTCTACGAACTAAAGAGGGATGTATTGGATTCATGGCAGCGGAATTGGGATGATAGCAGCAGATTCAAGGGCAGAGCCTTGTGGTTGATTAAGAGGGATGTCAGAGAAGGGGCATGGTATAAACAATTACGTTCAGAATCTAAACACATGATATCTACAATTAATCGCATGAGAGTGGGACATGGCATGTTTCCTGCACATCTGTACAGGATTGGCATGGCGGATTCTCCAAACTGCAGTTGTGAAGAATTTTGTGATCTTAACCACATTATTTTGGCATGTGAAACTTATGAGTTGGACAGAAGTAGAATGTTTGTTAAGCTGGGAAGGGAGGGCATTTTTCCTCCATATAATGTTAGTATGCTTTTGGCAACCAATAACGCTAGAGTTTTGAGAATGCTTTTTTATTTTTTGTGCAAGATAGGAATTTTTGTTTGATTTTATTTTAAAGCATGGATTAAAATTCAGTTCGGTAGATGTTCATCCTTTCGAGGGGTTGACCCGTTGATGTACATCTGTCGCCGTTCGGTGGGTTATAGGTGCTTAAGCAAGTAAAAGTGGTTTGGTGGGTTAAGGTAGTAAGGAAGGATCATGCCCCCCTTCCGGTAGTTCTGTTTATTTGAATTGTCTCTGATCTTTGGAACTTTATCCCCCACAGGGCTACCTTATGTGAGAATAAACTGATACAACAAAAAAAAAATTGTGACTGGTGGTAAAAGGGCTATATAAGCCCAGACACCAAGTGGATACCCCTGGTTTTAAGAAGAAGATACCTGGGTTCTAGTCTTTTATAAAAAGAAAAAAATAAAAACACTCAAACATCATATTTTAATCGTTTACTTCAATTCATTTTTTATTTCAAATTTTTAACCACTATTTACACACGTAATGTACAAGCGATCCGAACTTACACGGAATAAATACGAAAGAAAAAAAAGAAACAAAATCTTCGTGGTTCTTTTTATAAAAAAACTTTCAAGCCACATAACTATACTCTTCACTCGAATGAGGCGTTCTTTCTATATATTGTTTATCGATCAGCGCTTCGATACACTTCTTAATCATCGGGATGCTCGGAGCGAACGATGACCTACTTTGTGCGCAAACCTAAAATTAATTTAATCATTACAAAAATTAATTGAGATTAAATCAATTTAATTTCAATTAACCTCTTGTATTAAAACGTTGTGTTTCAAAATCTTCCTCGCCTTCATAATCCTAACGATAGCTGCTTGGAGATATAATTTCCTATCCTCCTCAACCGAGTTCATGGTGTGCTCAACCTCCGCGGGCGATTCTTTTTGAACAGCCGCGGTGATTCTAAACCGCGTCCTTTTATTCGTATATTCCAAATTTAAGCGCAAAACCGTGTCGGGTTTTAACTCATCCCCGCCTCCAGCATCGTTATCAACCAACAAAATTTTCGAATCAACCAAACTCACCGCGTGTCTTTGAAATTGTTCCGCGTTTAACTGCAACGTTTCTTTAATTTCATTACACGTTAACGAATCGGCGTTTTCAAACAACAATAAAATCGCCATTTGGAACGTTTGGACCGTAATAATATAGGGTTTTTTTAAATAACCGATTCTTAATTCGGCCTGGCAGAGATGATGGAGCCACGTTAATTTCCTCCCGTTGAAATGTTCGTGGTAAAACGACTCGAAATTTTGAACGCTCCGCTCTAATTGTTGTGGTAACGCGAAAGAAGTAACAACGGCTTGGCCTAAAGGCCACGCGCCCGCTTGCAACACATAAATACTAAAATTAATCCCCAAATCGACGTTTTTCTTCGTCAAATACGCGCTAAATTTGTTGTTTAAATCCGCGGAAACCGACATGTCCGTAAACATCCGATGTAATTTGCTCGTAAATTCGTAACCGCACGCGTGTTTTAATTTGTTAATCATCGATTCTTCGCCGTCCATGCTTTGGGTTAATTGGTGAATGAGTCTTTTCGCTAACATGCGGCTATAAAATTTTTGAAAGACGTCTTTATCGTCGATATATTTAAAGATAGTGATGCTGTTGGTGAGTTTTTCGTCGATGTCTTGTTCGCTGATTCCTTTACTCGATTTTTTAAGGAGTGTGTCGCAATATTTCGCCAATAATTCCGGGCTACGACACGGGCTTCTCCCCGAATTCGGGCGATGATTAATCACGGAACTACACGCTTTGTCTAAGGCTCCCATAAAATTTTGGTCGGACTTAAAAACCTCCTTAATTTGCTTTTTGTATTTATTATAAACTTCTAAGAGGTTCTCAACGAAACTTATATGAACGTTTTCTCCTTGTAAATTCAAAATAGCCTTTAAACAAAAAAATTATTAATAATTTATTACGAATTAAAAGAATTAATTTACCGCCAATCCCTGATTTTTAATATGATTAAGAACGATTTCAACCAAAACGTTGAGTCCGTTCGGAACACTTTTTAATAAACTATACATATTAGAGAGATCTTGCGCTTGCTCCGCCTCGACCATACTCGTACACTCACTATATAAAAACACCAAATGCTCCGCGACCATGTGCGTCTCACACCGTTGAGTCACCTTCGCTATCGAGCTTTGATGCAAAAATTTTTGAGCCCTCTTAACCTCCTCATCGATTTTCGCAATCACTTTTTCCATGTAAAGGCTAACGTTTCGCTCTTCTAATAACCGGGTCGCGTCGCGTTTATAATGCTCCCCGCTGGCGTCTAAAAACGGTTGTTCGAATAACTCCTGGTAAAGTTGCAGTTGCCCCTTTTTCTTGTAACTTTGCACCTCGACGAAACTCAAGATCGTGCCGCGAACCGCTTCCAAAGCTATGCTCATTGGAAATTGGCTACGATCTTGTTCTATGCATTCCAATAGGAGTTTTACTAATTTTGTGCCTAATGGGGTTATCATCCCTGTTTTCCAAACTTCTAACGCTAATTCGCCTATTTCCATTTGTTCACCTAGAAAAAGGAGATATTAAATTTTTGATGCTCCTGAAGATGTGAAATTAATGAAATCGGCACATAATAAATAAAATTTATATAATAATAATAATAGTACTTTATTGACCGCAACAACCAACATCAATCGCGATGGAAGCCATCTGTTCAACTCAACCTAGAGTTGAGAACGACTAATAATTACATATTCAATTGTTTTCCGCAATTAAATTAATCAATTCAAATGATTCCCTATATAACCAATAAATAGATATAGTAGAAACCACGAGAGCTGGCAGTGACTTGACGTTTAAAAATCGTATGAATCAAGATATGGACGTACGACTTAGATTATTTCACCACATACATTTGATTGTAGGTTATGTTAGTAATAGAGGTTATATGTCAAACATTGTCAAAGATAGGAGAGGTTAACCAGCGAAAAAGCGTTTATATTAATATTTAATAAATTAATTTAATATTTAATTCATATTTAATAATTTTTATTTAATATTTATAATTAGTCCATATCATCCTCTTCATCATCACTGCTCTCCTGATTTAAATTAATAATTAATGGCGCCTGCACTCTTTCCAGATGATTTCTAATACTCAGAAAGACTCCATTTCTTTCTCAACGTGATTAATGTAATGACGCCATTCCTCTGCGTTTACGCGTGACAAAGCCTCTGACCACATTGCCAAAACCTTATCATCACCATATCCATCTCTATCACTATGCTGGTTGTAAAAAAGTTTACATTTTGCCCAAACTAATTCAGTAGGATTGAATTGGCAATGATAAGGTGGCAATCGAAGCACTTTATGGCCCCACTCATTCGCCAATTCATCAATTTCATACGTTTGGGTAACTTGGGCATCTTTAGCTAACGCATATAGTTCCATTTTAAGCATATTAGAATTATATGCAATGTTGTTAGCTTTTAAAAAACTTTGAAGTTCCTCCTTGCGCCATGTAGTAGCGGGTATTCTTTGGATTAATTTTGGATGATAAGATACATTATCAAGGATAATTATACTAGGATTTTCTAAGTTTGGCAGCAATTGTTCTGTAAATTATTTTTTAAATAAATTAGCGTTCATGTTATCATGATAATCAACTTTTTTTTTTTTAAGTAGGTACAAACAATAAATTTGCTCCTTTAATAAATCTTTCGCTGTTACCAGCATGCAGAACAATATATCTTTTTCCTTCACTAATATTTTTTCTTCTAATAGATTCTTTATTGTCATCATGCCAACTTCTTCTTGCTGAACCTTCAGCAAGAAGTCTTATTCCTCAGTCTTATTTTCCATATATAGTCTCAAAAATTTTGCACGAGAAGACATAATATGCGATTGCTCCATCACACCTCTTCTATTATTGTCAATGGTATATGTAAATCCTATAGACTTCAAGCACCGTCTTAGGCTAGTAGCTGAAAAACTGAAGACATTGTTTTCACGAAGCTCCTCTTTGAGACATTTTACAGTAACAGGAAGTAGTTTATTGTGGTTTGTATAAATTTTACGACGTATGGGGTCTTTCACAAAGTCATCAATATCAGTCGACCTTACTTTTTGCCTATTACGTGTTTTTTGGGGTGAGGATGCAGAGGTATTGATGCGGTTTCAACTCGATTTTTGATTCGATAAGTGGTTCTTACGGAAATTCCGCAAGCAGTAGCACTTTTCTCTCAAGTTTCTCCTTCATTCGCGTATGTATGCCGAAAATAATTTAAAACATTCATAAACATCATCATAGATTTTTTATTTAATGATTTTCCTTTCAAAGAAAACATATTTTCGGCTTTTAAAAATATCAACAAATTCATGACAACGCTCAGAAGACGTTTCAATTTCAGGTTATAATTATAGAGTGACATCCCTTAAAAGAACAGACGTACTTTTTCGACGTGGCTATTTGAACTCTACAGCAAACATATTAAACTAATGCTATCTCTTTCTAACACATAATACTCTCTAGCGGTTTGTGAATTTTAATTTACTACGTATGGCATTTGTAAGAACGGAAAACGATGATTTACTGTCAGCTCTCGTGGCGTCTACTATAACAACCCAATGTCAGAGCACTGAGGTAGCATAAGGATTATGTTGACCTATCTGAAGCCGAAACAAGGTGTTACGCAAGTTAACTTTAAAAACGGATAGACTGTTATTTTTAAATTCAGGAGGACAGGAATTATACTCCTTGGCCGCATTATATGAAAAAGAGCGCCTAAAAAGAGCTTTCCTGTGAGCAGGAACGGCGATAGTATTTTTGTGTCTAAGATTCAAGTTATGAACATCGCACATTTTACAGATTTAAGCGGCCAAAAGTCAATTTTTAAAAAACAGTATATCATTAAATTAACAATTACTTGAGTTAGTACACACTTCTAGGAATAATATGACCCCTCCCACCCCTCATCGATGCGCGATAGTTAATTGTCAGGTAGTCGGAATTCGATAGTTACTTAACGTGTACATACATGTACAACATATCTTCTAAACAGTATGTCAAATTTAATTCAGTTTTCTGACCTCGGTAGTATTAAACACGGTGTGCCACAGGGTTTTATATTGGGCCCTATTTTATTTCTCATTTATATCGATGACCTACCTAATGTACTAGGTGCTGATGCTTGTATGTTATATGCTGATGATATTACATTTATTAGTCGAAGCTCTGTTTTTGAATGCGGCTACAGCGGTACAAAGCAATACATTTGAATTAGCTAAGGTTTGGTTTAATAGCAATAACCTGACCCCTAATGTAAGTATGACACTTAACCTGGTCTTCACTTTGCGCACAGATGACCAGGTGAAACCTGATCCTGATTGCAAATTTCTGGGTTTATATCTGGACTCAAGCCTTATATGAGGTTAAGCTAGCCAGTAGACTGAGTTCTGCTACTTTTTTGCTGAGACAACTATCTCTCACTGTCTCCACTCATGCGCTGCGAGCAATACACTTCTCACAGCTAAAATCTCACATCACTTATGGACTAGTAACCTGGGGCCACTCTAGTATGGTTAAGCGAATCTTTGGGATACAAAGAGCAATAAGAATAGCTGGAGGTCTGGGATATCGCGACAATTGCAGAGAAACTTTTAGACAGCTTAGGTGTAAGACGCTTCCATGTCTGTATATTCTAGAAAGCATTAAATATATTACAAACAATATGGAATTACAAACGAAAAATAACCAATTACATCAATATCGCACCTGGATCTGTTTTACACAGTAAAGATAGACAGCTATCTCCAGACATTCATTTAAGGCGCCTAAAAAATTCCTAATTAATAAGGCTTATTTTGATATTGAAGAGCTTTTGGCTAATCCGCCGGGAACAGTGAGACTAGCGGACTCGCCTGTCTAGATTTGTCTTTAAGTTCTGACTCTGTATTTTTATATTTTACTTAGATTAGATTTATGTCTATATGTTACATATTACGGAAATGACAGTATACCAATTGGTTTGGCATGAATAAATATTATTATTATTATTTAAAGACTAATAAAAACAAATAGTAGGATTAAATTGCCCCTCAGCTCGAACATAGCCATTTTTCAAGCTGAATTTCTTGCTATAAACTTCTGCACTGTCTTCAACCTAGAAAAGGGGCAGAAAGGTGCATCAATAAAGAGATCTCATAAAGAGATCTCATCCTGAGAGAACTCGCTAGGGTTCCAGGTCAGAAATACATTGAGGGCAACGAAGTGGCGGACAAGTTGGCCAAAGAAGAATCGAGGACGCCCTTTATTGGACCCTAACCCGGCTGTGGACTACAAAAAATCCACTTAAAACAAGTAATCATTAGTTGAGAGGTCTCAAAGGTAGCCTTAGGTTGGAAAGACACAAAATTTTCGGTAAAGTTTGTAAAGGAACTAGACTTTGAAGCAATATTAAGGTTCATCATTTGCCCTAAACTTTTGGAGGGCTTAAGTTACAATAGATTTTATAGGTCGAGGTGTAATACTTGAGCTTCTGCCTCAGCTGCTAATGATTCATCATTATTAATAAGAAACCTTTCCTTATTGCTCTGTAATCTTAAAACCACTGCCCTGGCAGCACAGCTACTAATAATACATCATTATTAATAAGAAACCTTTACTTATTGCTCTGTAATCTTAGAACCACTCCCTCAGCTTCCACAGACAAATGATTCCCATCTGCTCGAAAAGCTTAATATCTCAATCTAAAGCACTCTTATTGTTAAATTTTTACTCAATATGTTTTAGTAACCCATATAAAGTAGGGTAAGCTCTTAAGCAAGCTGCAAAAAATAAGGAATATGTTAAAACAAATCATATCCAAATAAAATAACAAACCATTTTTCTACTTAGTTGATACAAACTTGAATTTGGCTCATTATGGATTAATGAAACCTAAATAAGCTTCATTATCTCAATTTAGTCTTGAAAAAATACAAAAATTATCTTCAGCACATTCATATTCACTCAAATGTTAACTTTACACATACTTACTGTTAGAATTAACCTCAAAATTTGAATTAAACCAACAATTTTTTCACAAAATTAATTTTTTTTTTAATTAAGATAAGTTTCCAAACCTGTTGTATCTGCAGTTCCATAAATCATCTCAGCATCAGACATTCTTTGTGCTTTGATGTGTTGTTGATTTAAGTACAAATACAAAGAGTGTAAATATCCGACTCCCTTCGAATATTGCGACCAATAAACGTAATAATTTTTAACCAATTGGGTCTCATCGTCCTCCAAAACATGGTCTAATAACTTACTGACATGATCAATTAGGTATTGTTTAGTTTCGGCATACAGCCGATCAGCCATCGAGTCAGGGTGAGCCACACATAACGAATACACATCACTACAACACATCAAAAAATGTATTTTAAATTGAAAATTAATTTGTTTGACTTACGAGAACCGATCGCTCCAAACGGTTCTTGGAACATCGGCTAAAGTAATGACCCCTCGAATGGTTTCTTGGATTGCGCCCCAAATAGCGTTAAAATCGACGCTTTTGGGCTTTAAAGACATCGTAATCACCACCCGTTACTTATTTTCAATATGATACAGCAAATTCTAAAAATAATAAAGACAGTAAAAATTTTTTTCGAGGTTATGTTTTTTTAATCGACCATTTTAAACGAATCTCAACGATTTTTACCTCGGATCGTTTCGTTTATCACCTTTAATGTTGTCCTTTACCTTTTAATCGTTAATTTTCGGGATTATTTCGTGGAAAAACTCTCGAGTACTTGTTAAGAAATTCTCATTTTAACAGACGAGATTTTGATTGACACACACACACATATAAATAATTATTTATTGCACAAAACGAATCTGCGTTGAAAACGATTTTAGGATTAATAATTTTTGATTTTAATAAATTGGGACTTATTAAATCGAATTCGATGGGTTTCGTTATATTAATTTAGCTTAAATTTAGATTAAGTGATGTTTTTGAGGTTATAATGGATGAAGAAATCGACTTTATCGACGATTTATTCTCGGTAAAAGATGGCGCTTTTTAATTGTTTATTTTCTTTATTATTAAAAAGGTTTTATTTAAATCATTTAATTTAAAATAATCATTATTTCAAATTAAAAATAAATTAATTAATTTTTTTATTGGAAATTCTTCTTTTAAATTTAATTAAAAGGATTTCCTAAAATTGAATAATCAACCCAAATTGCACAAGATTATCACAAATTTATAAACAAACAATTATTTATAATTAATTCTTTATGAAGTTGCTTGAAGACCTTAAAAAGTCATTTTTTTAATGGAAAAAGAAGAATAAAATGTTGTGATGGGTGATCATTGTCGAAAATCATTGAGTTAACGAAAATCCTCGGAATTAATTGATTTAAAAGGGAATATCTCAAAAACGAAAGCCGATACAATAAAAAGTTCCTCTTTATTTTAGATTGTAAATTTAGTTCTGCATCGAAAAGAAAGAATAACATTTTTTTATATCCCCATTAGTTCTTGAGATATTTCCTCCGACAATCATCAATTTAACGAAAATCTTCGGAATTAATTGATTTAAAAGGGAATATCTCAAAAACGGAAGCCGATACAATAAAAAGTTCCTCTTACTTTTTGATTTTAAATTTAATTCTAAGTCGAAAAGGAATAAAAACCATTTTATATCTCCATTAGTTCTTGAGATATTTCCTCCAACAGTCATTGATTTAACGAAAATCTTGGGAATTAATTGATTTAAAAGGGAATATCTCAAAAACGGAAGTCGATACAATAAAATGGTCCTCTTCGTTTTCGATTTTAAATTTAATTCTGAATCGAAAAGGAATAACAACAATTTTATATCTCCAATAGTTCTTGAGATATTTCCTCCGACAGCCAATGATTTAACGAAAATTTTCGGAATTAATTGATTGAAAAGGGAATATCTCAAAAACGAAAGCCGATACAATAAAAAGTTCCTCTTAAATTTCGATTTTAAATTTAATTCTGCATCGAAAAGAAAGAATAACATTTTTTTATATCGCCATTAGTTCTTGAGATATTTCCTCCGACAATCATCAATTTAACGAAAATCTTCGGAATTAATTGATTTAAAAGGGAATATCTCAAAAACGAAANATGTTTTTGAGGTTATAATGGATGAAGAAATCGACTTTATCGACGATTTATTCTCGGTAAAAGATGGCGCTTTTTAATTGTTTATTTTCTTTATTATTAAAAAGATTTTATTTAAATCATTTAATTTAAAATAATCATTATTTCAAATTAAAAATAAATTAATTAATTTTTTTATTGGAAATTCTTCTTTTAAATTTAATTAAAAGGATTTCCTAAAATTGAATAATCAACCCAAATTGCACAAGATTATCACAAATTTATAAACAAACAATTATTTATAATTAATTCTTTATGAAGTTGCTTGAAGACCTTAAAAAGTCATTTTTTTAATGGAAAAAGAAGAATAAAATGTTGTGATGGGTGATCATTGTCGAAAATCATTGAGTTAACGAAAATCCTCGGAATTAATTGATTTAAAAGGGAATATCTCAAAAACGAAAGCCGATACAATAAAAAGTTCCTCTTTATTTTAGATTGTAAATTTAGTTCTGCATCGAAAAGAAAGAATAACATTTTTTTATATCCCCATTAGTTCTTGAGATATTTCCTCCGACAGTCAATGATTTAACGAAAATTTTCGGAATTAATTGATTTAAAAGGGAATATCTCAAAAACGGAAGCCGATACAATAAAATGTTCCTCTTCATTTTCGATTTTAAATTTAATTCTGAATCGAAAAGGAATAACAACAATTTTATATCTCTATTAGTTCTTGAGATATTTCCTCCGACAATCATCAATTTAACGAAAATCTTGGGAATTAATGGATTTAAAAGGGAATATCTCAAAAACGAAAGCCGCTACAATAAAAAGTTTCTCTTAATTTTCGATTTTAAATTTAATTCTGAATTGAAAAAGAATAACAACAATTTTATATCTCCATTAGTTCTTGAGATATATCCCCCGACAATAATCGATTTAACGAAAATCTTCGGAATTAATTGATTTAAAAGGGAATATCTCAAAAACGAAAGCCGATACAATAAAAAGTTCCTCTTAATTTTCGATTTTAAATTTAATTTTGAATCGAAAAGGAATAACTACAATTTTATATCTCCATTAGTTCTTGAGATATTTCCTCCGACAGTCAATGATTTAACGAAAATCTTCGGAATTAATTGATTTAAAAGGGAATATCTCAAAAACGAAAGCCGATACAATAAAAAGTTCTTCTTAATTTTCGATTTTAAATTTAATTCTGAATCGAAAAAGAAGAATAACATTTTTTCATATCGTCATTAGATCTTGAGATATTGCTTACGATAATCATTGATTTAACGAAAATCTTCGGAATTAATTGATTTAAAAGGGAATATCTCAGAAACGAAAGCCGATACAATAAAAAGTTCCTCTTAATTTTCTATTTTAAATTTAATTCTGCATCGAAAAGAAATAACAACAATTTTATATCTCCATTAGTTCTTGAGATATTTCCTCCGACAATCATTGATTTAACGAAAATCTTGGGAATTAATTGATTTAAAAGGGAATATCTCAAAAACGAAAGCCGATACAATAAAAAGTTCCTCTTTATTTTCGATTTTAAATTTAATTCTGAATCGAAAACGAAGAGTAACATTTTTTCATATCGTCATTAGATCTTGAGATATTGCTTACGATAATCATTGATTTAACGAAAATCTTTGTAAATAATGGAATTAAATGGAAATATCTCAAAAACGATAGCCGATACTACAAAAAGTTCCTCTTAATTTTCGATTTTAAATTTAATTCTGAATCGGAAAGAAATAACAACAATTTTATATCTCCACTAGTTTTTGAGATATTTCCTCCGACAGTCATTGATTTAACGAAAATCTTGGGAATTAATTGATTTAAAAGGGAATATCTCAAAAGCGAAACACAATACAATAAAAAGCTCCTCTTAATTTTCGATTTTAAATTTAATTCTGAATCGAAAAGGATTAACAACAATTTTATATCTCCATTAGTTCTTGAGATATTTCCTCCGACAGTCATTGATTTAACGAAAATCTTGGGAATTAATTGATATAAAAGGGAATATCTCAAAAACGGAAGCCGATACAATAAAAAGTTCCTCTTTATTTTCGATTTTAAATTTAATTTTTAAACGAAAAGGAAGAATAACCTTTTTTCATATCGCCATTAGTTCTTGAGATATTTTCAAACTCAATCACCACGATTATCGACCTGGAGAGTTGTACTCAAAAAAATCATAATGATTAAATTTGAAGATTTGAAAAAATTATTTTCATCACATTAAATGTTTATAAAATTTCCTTCAAAATGCTTCTTATTTCATCGTAATATCTTAATTGGTTATTAAAATACGATTATTTTAAATTCGACGTTTTCAATCATGATTATCGAGGTGTAAAGTTAAATTAAAAACAACCATTTTTTTCTTACAAATTTAATAATAAAGTTTTTTTCATATCTTAAGAACTAAATAGACGGGATTGCTCGTAATATTTAAAAAATTTGAGTTCTATTCGTATAAAAAGGCGCCAACAAATCCAGGGGTAAAGGAAATATAATTGTTGAATTTTTTTCCGCGGAGATGTTGTTTAATGTTTGTAAATATCTTAGCTAAAAAATATAAACAAAATCTGTTATGTATAATACTATACATATATATAATTAAAAATTACCTGTAAAGCCGCAGGGCTTTCATTTATAACATCGGAAGCTTCTTTTAAAGCTCTCGAAGCTTTCATTTCACCTTCAGCGGCGATAACTTTCGCTCGAGCCTCTCTCGATGCCTCAGCCTCGGCCGCCATCGCTCTTTGTAGTTGTTGAGGCAAACTCACATCTTTACTAATTTCATTAATAAATTTATTTTTTTATTTATTGCTTCGAAACGTGTTTAATGACTTACATTTCAACTCTTTCCACTTTAACACCCCATGGTTCAGTGGCAACATCTAACGAGGTCTGCATCGCGTGAGAAATCGCTTCTCTATCTGATAATATTTCCGCTAAGCTTCTTGTTCCTAAAATATTTCTTAAAGTTGTCATTGCTAGTAGTCTCGTTGAATTACTGAAAATAAAGTTTTTATTAAAATCAAAAAGAAAAATAAATAATTAAGAAGTCTTTACCTGTAATTGGTAACTTTAACTACGGCGTTTAATGGGTCTTGAATTCTATAATAAACGGCAGCATCAACTGTTACGGTTACTGAGTCTTTTGTTAAAGCCTAAAAATTAATAAATAATATATGTAAAATTAAAATTAAGTTATTTTAAAAAGTGTTGTTAATAAAAGTTGTTTATAATGGAATTCTCAACAAGTATTGTTTATAAAATAATTCGATACGATCAATAATTATTGAGATAATCACAAAAATATTGACTTTTATACTAGTATACAGAGCCACCTGGTGGAGATATCAAAAATTCTTATTAAAATAATCGATTTTAAATTAAATTCTAAATAGATTNCTTGGGAATTAATTGATTTAAAAGGGAATATCTCAAAAACGAAAATCGATACAATAAAAAGTTCCTCTTTATTTTCGATTTTAAATTTAATTCTGAATCGAAAAGGAATAATAAAATTTTTTATATCTCCTTTAGTTCTTACGATATTTCCTCCGACAATCATCGATTTAACGAAAATCTTCGGAATTAATTGATTTAAAAGGGAATATCTCAAAAACAAAAGCCGATACAATAAAAAGTTCCTCTTAATTTTCGATTTTAAATTTAATTCTGAATCGAAAAGGAATAATAACAATTTTATATCTCCATTAGTTCTTGAGATATTTCCTCCGACAGTCAATGATTTTACGAAAATCTTCGGAATTAATTGATTTAAAAGGGAATA